AGCCTCCGGCACAGAGAGACACTAAAAGTTCATTGTGATGCCGCTTTTTCCTTTTTTTCATTGCCCTCCTTTCAAAAATGAAAATGTAATTAAAAGAAAGGCAAGGGCTCATCCCCCTGCTGCTCCACACACACTATCCTGCAAGTTTGCTCTAATAGGTAAAAAAGCAATTAGAGAAGAGGCTCCATTCTTAACAAACTGTCTCAAGTCAGGATTTTTTAAACACAGCTGATAGTCAAGGAGCTTTCACTAGCTTTTCCCAACTTCATGGACATTGATGTACTATAATAGCATGATAACCAGAGAGAGAAAAATACTTTAACATTCAAGTTTTCATAAAAACTTCGCAAAAAAGAAAGTCTCACCCTAAATTCATGCCAGTGTCTTTTTTCACAAAGTCAGGGCTGACTTATTCTCTTCCCTCCTGCCTACAGGGACAAGAGAAGGGGCTGGGCTGTGGAGCAGGACCTGCTCCCAGGAGGAAACATTCAGTGAAAAGTTGCATCTAAATACTGATATGTCAACAGAACTCACTATTTGCTTAACTGGATGTTATATATCTGCCTAGAGAATCACACTGGGGAAGAAAAAGCATATTTTTAGGCCCTTTTAGCAGAAACAGATGACTTGGAGACAGTGATGAGCAAATCTTAAATTTTTCAAAGCCATTTAATTCAGGGCTCAGATTTCCTGATAATTTCTTAGGAACTGGGTTTTCGAGACAGGTGTTTGGCATTTCTAACTCCTGGCTCCCTTTAGGAGCCATCAAACCGAGCATTAAACTCCCACAGTCTTGAAAGTTCAAGTCAAGGTGGTTTTTGTTTTGCTTTTCCCCATGAAGGTCAGTTCGGGATTGAATCTTTTGTCAAGGTTGGCTGGAGAGCAGAAGGCTCTGTTAATCTGCAGGCGCTGCGGCTCCCTCCTGGCTTCCTTCCCTTGCAGTTTGTTTTACTTCAGGATTCACCCCCTGGGATTGTAAAGGCTGCAGACGGGGGTTAGAGGTGAAACAAAGAAAACGAGATTGGTTGTTTATTCAGAGGGAGCCAGAATTCATAATGTTGGAGACACTGGGCTCCTCCCAAGAGATAACTGTAATTTTACAGCACCTCTCCACAACTCTATTTTTTTTCAAAAATAAAATAGTGACAGATTCAAAATACCATTTCCCCAAGTAACTCCTAAAATCAAAACAAGAAAGTTTTTTCCTGCAAAGTGACCAGACACTAGAACAAAACAAACACACTTCCATTGATCTCCATGTGGGAAAGCATCTGAAAAAAGAAGTAAAGATAACTTTGCCTCCTTCAGAGACCTTCTTTTATTCACTCAACTTGTGCCTTATTATGGAGATTTTTTTTGAACATAAGATTATTTTTTTTTTTTGACCATAGATCTTTTTTCCTTGGGAGATAATCTTCTCATGCCCTTCCTTTTCAATGAGAAGGCCAAATTTTACTTTCATTTATTCACTGTGGAACCCCACTGACAGTAGCTAACAGGCACATCCACCCCACACAGGCAGCCTGGCGATATATTTCCCCTGCTCATACCTTGTTTTAACAATCACAACAGCAGCAAGGGAAGGTGCAGATGCATCCACTACACCTGAGGAAAAACCCGGCTCTTTCCCCAGGCTTTTCTGGGTGTTTGCCCTCCAGGGTAGCATCTGCTCGCAGTGAGATCGCTGGATTTACAACAGAGCGAATGGTTGTACAACAACAAAAACTGGATTCCAGGGTCCTGATAAGAGAAGGTAAACTGTCCTGCGACCCAATCCCGGCCAGTCACCCGACCGCTAATCCAGGGTGAATCTGCTGGCGTCACTGGCTTTACACTAAACACACACCGGGGTAAAAAACAAGCGTTGCAGCTCAGCTCAGGCAGCCCAGCTCCAGCACTCTGCTACCAGAAGTGGCTGCTTACTTTCAAGCTCTCTGCACAGCCTGTAATCACCCAATATTGAAACCAGATTTACAAGCTCTTTAGAGGAGGAGAAGTTTGTGATTTCCAAAGCAGACGCATTCGGTATTTCAGAAAAAGGTCAAGCCCCCTGTGGAGTAAAGGGGTTTTAATAGAATCAGTT